TCTCATCAGTCCTAAAAGAAAGATGAATGGAATTAGAAATCAACACTTGATATTTCTTTTGAACACTGTATGCAGTTGAAAGAGTTGAAATACGTTACATATTATATACGTAAGTATATGTGTGAAATAATTCAGGTTGTCAGGTATCTCAAGAGGCCACCCAGCCCCATGCTGAAGTCAGATCTGTTTTCTCTTCTTGTAAATTGTGACCTTCTCCTGCCTCATTTCATGACCACCAGTTTCAATTTATGACCATTGGCTTCAAGGGGGATTGCAGGCACTGAACCATACCCACCAGCACCTTGCTAGGAGCATTCTGAATAAGCACACAGCATGGTTTCACAGCACCACATCATGCTTTTTAGCACGGGCATCACTGCTCTTGGTCGAACAAGCACAAAAGGGAATATCGGAGAAATTACTTATTGTTCTACTCAAGCTGGATACTAGGGACATTTATTGGCACAGGCTGCCCAGAGGGGTGATGGAGTCACTGTCCTGGAGGTGTTCAAGAAAAGTGGAGATGTGTGGCACTGAGGGATGTGGTTAATGGACGTGGTGAGATAGGTTGGGGTTGGACTCAGGGATCTCAGAGGTCGTTACCAAGCTTAAAGATTCTGTGATTCTATTTGTCATGAAGTCCTGAAGGAAGACTTCCATGAGGTGTATGGAAGTAGGTCAGGACAAGCTATGTGGCTCCAATTTTGCCTCTCCAAATGGAAACCATGTTTTTGTGTGTATGTGTGCATGCATATTTTTATTGGTTTTGGTGGTGGTCTTTTTTGGGGTATTATTTTTGTGGGTTTGTACTGTATTGTTTTTTATGTTTCTTCACATAGAGTTTTAGGCATGGCAGTATTAAAGCCTAGGGTCCATGTAGAAAGAGCACAGGCACATTTTAATATTTCCCATGATTTTACCTTTCATCCACTACAGACAGCAAGGATACAATACAACACTGCCACTGAACCAATTTGTGTAAAAGTTATCACGAAATGGCAGATGCCATTATGGCATATTTCACAGATTCTGAGGCAAACTTTGGAAAAAGTCACGAATTCCAAAGAAACAATGAAACAGAGGTCATATAATCATATGAATCCAGCAGCTAGCATCATGATTATTACTTTTTTTGTTTGGAGGAAAGTGAAAGTTGTATAATAAGGGATGAGAATGGACTAATCAGTGCAAGAAGCAAAAGCTATTTACTACATAGTGGCCTCTAGGGCGCACTAAAAAGAATGGCAGAAAATGTATGCATGGGTAAAGACAAATAGATCGATGGAAACTTGCATCTCAAAATAGGAATATTCACATGAGATGCTCTCCATTATGTGGACACTGTCTATCAGCAAAAATGTGTATTGAAAATACGTGAGTTATATCCTTTCATTGTCACAGCCACTGAAAATACGTGAATAGACATCCAGCAACAAAAGCAGAGAAGGCACAAGCTAAGTTATTGTGTTACCTCAGAAATGAACTAGTTATGAGGGGAAGCTCTCACAACAGATCCCATTTAACAAAAGACATGACAGAAAATGTGCTCCCAGACCAGAATGTGCATCCACTGCCCCACCTTGAATACCTCAGCCAAGGCTTGGCTGCTGGGGTTACTTTTCTCAGCAAGGTGGGACTCTGATATCCCATTCCTATGCTGCTTATATTATAGGTATCTACACCCCCATCGCCCATCAGTCATTCTCCATTTGTCCATTGAGGTGAGATGATTCTCATAGACTTGTCTCCTCTGCTACTCCACACATTTACTGTGCCACACACAAAAACCTCCTGTAAGGCTCCTTACTGCTGCTCTGTTCCTTCATTCCAGAGCAGCCGAGGACCATGAGCCATGGCTTCAAGCTTGGGGAAAAGCTTTGCTTCAGCACACCCGTAGAGAAACCCAGAAAGCTACAGCAGTGTATTTAGGGCTGACAAACCACAGCTTTTCCATGCTCAGCAGCCGTAGGATGGGAAGACCTTACTGTCATGTTGAGCAGCAGGAGCGCAGCTCCTCCAGAACGATGCCATCTGTGAGGTCGTTTTCAACTGAGACCTCCTGGGAGGAGTGATGCACAAAAGAAGAGAGGATTTCCTCAGCTGCTGTTATCAGGTTTCCTTCCTCCAAATACTCGAAAGGAATGGGTTTGCTAAAGCGTGCTCTGCCAATTTTCTATTCTTCATTACCTCGCCTACAGCAGAGGTCGGCATTATCTTATCTGCTGCTCAGTGCATTGCAAGGCCAACTGAAGAATCAGCACATATTTTGCTCAGTCCTTGCTGTTCCCTTTGGATGTATTCCTGCAGAAAAGCTTAAGGACCATAATACAGGGACATAATCCCAGGGAGAAGGAACATGGAGTGCAAGGAAGCACAGCTCAAATCCTGTGAATAAAGCAGTAATGGAGAAGTAGAGGAGGAGTAGGAGGGAAGGTACGGTCAAGTGTTCAGTGTGTCAGGACACTGCCCTGTCAGCTTCTGCTTTCCTACATGGGGCAAGCAGCTTTATTCAGGGGATGCACTGCACACAACACATACATTACCCCCAAGGGACAGCTGCACACCCTTTTTCAGCATCTTATTGCATCGTACTGCACTGATGCAGCTTTCTGCTGCAAAACTGCTCCCAGGTGCATGAAAGTGAGGAGTACAAGAGAACTGGAATTCTTCAGCATGATGACGCATTACAGAACTGTTCTGGGACTTACACCTCTGCTTCCTGGGAGGAAAGAAATCAATTTTCAGTGACGACGCTTTTCTTTTTCCAGCTGGTAATGCAGCAGAATGGATGGGCTGTCACTGAGCCTGTGTGCAAAGTTGCAACAGGTCGCTGATGATTAAACACAACGTTCCTCCAGAATTGCAGGTTCTGATTCTGCCCGGAGGCAGCTAACAGACCTTTACAGCATGCTCCCTGCGGAAAGATCTACTCAGCATTTAAGCAGGCACTTTTTGCTGCCTTTTGTCTCTAGAGGCAAAGTCTGAAAAGAAAACGAAGCTTCTGAGTCTCTTTTGAGTTCTGCTGCCCAGATTTCCATACCATGAGGGACTGCCTGGAGTTGGTGACGCCAGAACACCTTCCTGTGCCTCCAGCACTTCCTCTGATGCATTTCTATGTGTCAGGTGCAGAAGGCAACACTGGGAAGATGTTGTCTCCTGGATCACCTGCATCTGCTTTGCATAACTGACTGAAGTGTTTCACTGCCCCATTTCTCAATCTCTACAGCGTTTGCCAATGAGAATTGCTGTCAGACTGTAGCACCTCATCTGTTTCTAGCTGACTCCAACCTGATTTAGCAGAACCAGGATTTATTTAGCAGACAGGGAAAGTTTTGTCTTTCTAGAAATTGTATAGAAAAAGATGCCATGAGAGAACAGCCCCATTTCCCAGAGATGCTGCCCAGAGCTCCCCTCTCACCTGACAACAAGAGCTGCTGTTTTGAGTTCCTGCAGGTGTTTTCAACCTGCTACTTAGGCTTTGGAGATTTGCTTCTGGCTGGTGCTTATTGCATTATTGGTAAGCATATCTTTGCTTTCCCTCCGGATTTTAGCATCTTTTTCTCTCTTTCTATCCATTTTCCATACTTTCTCACACATGGTTTTGCTTTAGTTCTCTCTTCCCCTAGCAACTTTTTTGATACGTTCCGAAAACTTACAGCAGCCTCTGCTGAGGTCTGCCCACAGAGCAGAAGGAAAGGAACAGTCTGATTGGTATCCAGTCCAAAACAGGCATAGGCAACAACTGACATGAAATGCAGCCTTCCTACTTAGGCATCTAAGGAGAGCACAGTCCAGGTGTTGAAAATGGCTATGGAACATGAGTGAGTTGGACCCATTTGCTGGGAGACCCACAAGCAGCAGAGGCATAAAATACTCCTAAAAACAGACCCAAATCCAGCTGGCAAACCAAACCATCATAAAGTCTGCTTCAGCCCCAGCCTATCTGCAGAACAGGCAGCACTGCTCTCAGACAGACAGCTGCCTGGGAGCTGTTTGCATGGCTGACTGCAGGACTGCTGAGCCCCCAACCAGGGCAGACTGGTGGCAGATCGGTGGGAAGGGATGAGCCAGAATGGCCTGAGAGTAAAGTGCAGCTTAGTCCCGTGCCAACTCGTGTGCCCACAGCTCTGCCCAGGCAGCACTCCAGCCACCAGCCCCTTTGCAGCCCCTCATTACCCAGCAGTGCACGGGTGCCATCTCCTCTTCCAACAGTCTACTTTTTGATTCTATTTAACTCTGATGCTGTCTGCAAGCCGAGCTGCCACTCGGGTGGCAGCCAGGAGCCATGAGCTGATCAGCGTCTGTTCCTGCAAGATCCTCAGGCTGCCCAGCTTGCTCCTGCTCCCTGCCATCATCAGAACACAGCCTGATTTCTTTCCTTTTTCTATATTTTTTTTCTTTCCTCTAACACAACACCATGAAGACACCCAGCTGCTGACCACACTGCACAGCTAACTAAGATTTATGATCCACAACCATCAGGAATAAGCAGAAAAATTTCCCTTCTGTTTGATCAGAAGCCAGAATTTCATCAAGACTACAAACACCCAGGGAGATACAACCAACTGATGGACATTGCTCAGACCATCCCCAAATGCGTGCCTCTGTGCTGGCCTTTTTCCAGCCCTGTCTTCTTGCTTCAGCTGGCTAAAATTCACTGACCATAGCAAGAGACCCCCAGGTCCCCTCCGTTGCTCAACTTGGTCTGACAGCATGCACGCTCCAGGATCCTCATGTAAGATGGGTGCTGGACCTGCTGTCAGCCCCTTGCTCAGCCCCCACATCACCCCACACCGTGCTGGGAAGCAGCACAAGAAGGGCTCCAGCAAGAAAACTGAAACTCAACAGGCTGCCTGCTCCTTCTCAGCTGTGCCACAACCCGTGCTCATCATACTGTGCCCATGCAACACAGCCAGTGACATCCAGGGCTATCCTGGTCCTGCACCACCACCATCCACATGCCCGGAGTGGAGAAAAGCAGAGCATCTGCTCATACTCACAGTTTTGAAGTCCTCATGGTTACATTCTTGACCTTTGAATTTGCAGTACAGCATCATATCCTTCAGGTCGTGGCCAACCCGTGCCAGGAACTCCTGCATGTTGAAAACTTTAGGTTTATACTGCTTAAAGTTGGCTTTCTCTTGGAGGATGGCTAAGACAGCCGGGTCAGCCAGGTGAGGGTTGGGGATCTGCAGGTTGACGTCGAGCAGAGCCAGCAGCTCCCCAGCATGGTACAGATCATTGGTGGTCAGCCGGGAAAAGCGGAACTCATTGAGGTTACAGATGGTGACGGCAGGGAACACCAGGCTGTTTGCCACCACCTCGTCCACTTTGGTGACATGCTGGTAGGAGAAGTAGAAAGTCACCCGGTCCGAGCTCTCCACCAGGAGGAGCCCCAGAGAGCCCACAAAGGCCAAGGTCCAGAGCAGACGCCGGATGGTCACTGGCCCATAGACGAAGACATGACGGATCCCGTGGAGTGTGGAGGTGTTGGCAAAAATCTGGATGCTGGAAGGCTGCAGGCTCCCCATGCTGCCCTCGCTGGTGCTGTCCTTCAGATCCATTGGGAGTAGCTGGTGAAATCCTTGCACTGCTTTTTGGGTCAGACTGTAGCAAGAACTGGGATCCTTCCCCTCCCCTCTGGAAAGTAATTAGAGCCTTTTAGAGGAGAGAGAGCAAAGACAGTCTCAGACCAGCTGCCACAAGCTTATCCCACCAGCTCAGCAATAGCTTCGTAGGGGTAAATATTTATACAAACATCCATTCAAACTCTAGCTCTTGATTTCGTCGGTGTGATAAGAAGGGCTGGTTTTATTTAGGGAGACACCAAGGTGATGTGGAAGAGATGTGGGTGGGAAGCGAAAGCCGAGCCAATGGAAATAAAGTCCTCCCCCTACACACGCGCACACACACACACACACACCGAACAAGATGAGATTAAGCGAGAGGGAGAGCTTGAAACAAGCGGAGCAGCTCGCAGCCTGTTAACTGGTGCGTGAAGCCAAGGATGCCGCTACCCAGAGCTGATGGCTGGCAGTGAGGCTTCCAGACTCATCCTTCCCGTGCTCCGAAGGTGCTGCCGGATTTGGGCATCTCTTCTCCTCCCCGCCCTGCTGTTTTGGGCAGGGCTTTAGGAAATAGCCCCCTCCCTAAAACCCCGCCGGTGTTATTTTGCAAGAGTTTCTCTCAGGGAAAGCCGGGCAGCAAATTCAGCAGGAAAATGCAAGAGAAGTAAAGGAGGAAAAAAGGGAAGGAGGGAAAAGGATTTATAAAAAAAATGAAAAAGGGCGGAAAAAAACGCTTCTCAGCTCCATGTATGTGCATAGAAATAAAAAGCAATAGCATGAAGCCTCTCTGCCGTGCAGCAGTTCCGGAGCAAAAAAAAAAAATTAAGACAGAAAAGGATGAAGCGGGAGAGATGGTGGGGGAGAGGGGCTGCTGTGACTCTCCTTCCTTCTCTCTGTCTCAGCCTCCCTGCACTTCAGGACTCCAGCAGGCGAAGCACCAAGAGCTGTGAGTCACGCATCGATCCGAGCCCCACGGCGGGCGAGAGCAGCACTGCCAGATGTTTGGTGCTGCTGGAAGGCAGCTGCGATGGATGCTGTAGGGAAGGTGCTCCCAGCTGTGTCTTCAGATGGGAGGTTTGGAGGGGTGGGGATGTTGGGGAGGCAAACTGGGAAAGGTTTCCTAGCCAAGAGATGCTGCAAAATCCTGCACACTGAAGCCTCCAGATGTGACAGCATCCTTAGCACACGCTGCAGGAGGTGGAAGGAGCAAGGTGTAGCCCTGGGTCTGGGAAGGGTCAGGAATAGCTCCTCTCCACACTGACTCTGTGTACAGCAGTATTTTTATCTGTTTTATCTCAGATGTAGAAGGAAAAAATACTTTCTGTCTCCATACAGTGCTATGGCAGGTGAGGGTCCCTGGGGCCATGGTGGCATGGATGTGACAGTCAGCTGAGAGCAGAGGCTCAAGGAACAGCCACAGGCTGTCACAGTCTGTGGTGTGATGCCCAGAGACTATCAGCCTCCTGTGAATTTACCTCCAGAACAGACCCAAAGATTATCTTGGGCAAAGTGAGGCCTGATTTTTATCTTGTGCTGTTATCCAGCCATGCAATCTCCCAGCCTACAGCATCCTATGTGAATATCTCTCAGGCTGAACTACTCAACCCAGCACTGCTATATGGCTATGCAGTGCTGCTCTCTCTCTTCTACACCAGAGAAACTGAGGCAAAGAGAAGCCAAAGGACATGTGAGCAGTCACACAGTTTGCACTGCAGCCATGAGCTGAAGACACCACTTGGTCTCTGGGTTGCTGGAATTCTGACACCTTAGAAGCCTCCTGCACCTTGTTTTGTGCTTTCCAGATGGGGTGGACAACACTGAGCAGAGCCAAGCGAGGTGTGAAGCAGAATGAAAGCAACTCAGGAAAGTGGTTGCAGCTCCAGAGCTGCCTCCTCCTGCACTCAGCATCTCTCCAGAGCAGAGATAAGATCGTTTCCCCCCGTTTAAAAAATGCCTGGCAGGAATAGGCTCCTATTCCCACCCATCACCATCCCAGCTCCAAATCTGTCTCCTCTTCCACCGCCTGTGCTGTTTGGCCTGATGCATTAACGCTTTCATTTATTCACCATGCACACTGCCTTTACAGTGCTGTTTTCTGTAACTCATACCATATACCATCTGCTGCATTTTATTAGTTGACTGTGTATAGCGCTGCGGGTGCAGTCTGGAGGAAGAAGCAGCATCCCCAGCAGTGCTGCACAGCACCAGAAATGCTCGCGGGTTTCTGCATTGGGGCTGGAGATGGACCGTGGAGACAAATGCTGCCCAGTAGTGCCATGCGGGCAGCCTGCAGTCTGGTTGTCACCACAGTGGCCAGGATGTCCCCAGGACAGGGAAAGGCAGCTCTGATCACACCTGGAGCTGTGCTTGGGGGTGACATCAGCAGGGCTGGGGACACAGGTTGGGAGGGATGGCAAGGGGAGTTGGGACCACAGAGATGTAGTAATGGAGGGAGCAGTAAGGACAGGGTGACAAGGGATACAGGGAACAGAGCCTGACCCTGTCTCATTGCACAGCCTGTGCCTGCCCTCTTGTGTCTCAAGAACATGCTGCAGTGCACAGAGCCCTGAAACAGATGGGAAGTGGGTTTATTGGGGAAGAAAAAGAGGCAAAGGGGAGGTCCCAGCCTTTGGGAGCCCCTCTACTTTCCCAGCCCCGCTGAGAAGCCTGTGCCAAGTGAGCAATTTGCATTGGTAAAGCCTGAACTGCTCTGGGCCCAAATTGACAGCTGGAACAAGGGCTTTGCTGAAGGTGATTGTGGTCCTAAAAGTCTCACTCTGTTCCTCAACCTTTCCCAAAATTTTGGACCCCCTTATCACCTAACAGCATATTGCCAATAGCTCCAAGCTATTGGGAACACACAGCTCCACTTAGCTGAGAGACCTTGGCTAATTAAAATAGTCCTCCTTTCCAAATGGGAACATAATGTGGAATGCTGATGTTTCCCCTGAAATTAAATCTGATCCCTTCCAAGGTAGCTTTGGCTGGGCTAAAAGGCTTTTTACTACATATAGAAAATTAAAAAAACATGATTGGATTTTGATGTATTTAATATTATACTTAGATTTTTAATAGGTTATAAAATGAAAGCCATTAAAGAGTACAAAAACTCTCCCTGAAAGAAAACATGAAATATTCAAATGGCTGCATGTAGTGGCTGGAAAGCCAAACGAAGGATAAGGATCTGGGGTGTGGGTCGATGCTTGGCTGCACATGAGCCAGCAATGTGTCCAGGAGGCCAAGAAGGCCAATGGCATCCTGGTTGTGTCAGTAATCGAGCAGTCAGCAGAGATGGTTTTCCCTGATGGGAAGCAGTGGGGCTGCAGCCTTCTGTCTTTGTGTAGCAACTTCCTAGGCCAGCAGCCCAGACCCACTACAGCCAGGCAAGGGCTCAGCAGGCTGCTATGGAGATGTGGAAATATTTCAGATATTCTAGTTTGTTGGGCCCAGCAAAGAGATCTCAAAAGCACCTTCTGCTGGACCTAAGTTCTATTTTCCTTTTGTTTTCATCTCAAGTGCACGAATATAAATGAGCCCCAGTCTATCCATGCTGGTCTGCTGGGACTCTGGACCCAGAAGTCTGATCAAATTAACTTGAAGCATTTTAGCACACGAGTGTGTTGGGCTCTGCTCATTTAAATTTTACATAAATTCAAGCACCGAATCATAATGTGGCAAACAAGCATCAAGAAAGCTAGGAAAGGAAAGTCTAGATTTACCAGTAACCAGCAAAAGCTGGCAGCTGCCTCTGAGATTCACAGTCTCGTTCTGGGAGTCCAATGAGAGCTTTGTGAGAAGAAAAGGAAATCCAGGTCCCCACGAGCGCATGAGGGGTGTGCAGACCTGCCTCTGAACTCTGCAGGCAGGGCAAAGATTGGAGGAGATGGATGTGATCGGTGACACTGCTGTGTTTGCTACCAGCCCTGGGAGGTCAGAGCAGCGCGCAGGCTCTGAGCTCTGTGTGTGTCTGAGCCACAGCTGCTTATATTTTGATCGTGCTACCAGGTTTGTTCAATTCTGTTTAATCTTTTGGACAATGGGCTTGTGAGTCATCAGGGCTGGCAAGCGGGGGACAGAGACCTTTCTCCTCCTCAGTCTGTTTGCCACCTGCACGCTGTGTGTGTGGTGCTGCAGCTGGAGCTGAGGACCTCAGAGCACAGCAGCTCATAGTGAGGCCACGCTGCTTTGGTGGGTACCAGTGCTTGCTCGCTGGTGCTTCATTTGCTCTTTGTTAGATTTAGACCCATCACTGAGTTATTGGAGTATGGATCTGCACAGGGATGTGACCTTTGCAATTTTTCTGTGCCGGGCTGTATGATACAACAGATGAGAAGCATCAACTTGTCAGTTCAGCCACCAGGTATCAAACTGACTGACAGCCTGGGGAAGCTGCAGCTACACCGAATTGTCCCTAGAGAGTGCTTTGATGGGTTCTTTTGCTGCAGGCATTTGTGTAAGGAGTGGGCACCTACATTTGTACTCCTGTGTTGGACAGTGGCACGAAAAGGCTGGAATGTGTGGAGTAGAAAGTGAGCTCTGGTTCAGCGCAGATCTGGGGAGGGATCATAATTAATTGCTTACAGGCAGGTTTCTTAACTGCCTGCAGGCTTGGGAATGTAAGCATATGAGAGTGTGCCAGCATGTTCCTTCTCTGAGCATCTTTGCTATTCCCATTTGGATTTGTTCAATTACATGGCAAAGTTTTTCTAACCGCCAGCAAGGGAAATTCATCCTGAGATCAGAAAAACAGTAATAGTAACTTGTAGACCTTATTCAGGACTTTGGAGCCTTCAGAGCACTAAACAAATGTTAGCTAATGAATCAAGCTGTGCTGCTTCTCCTGCCCCAGCCCTGGCAATAAATGCTCCAGGATTAGAAACATGCTGACACGTGTGCTGTGAGTGCCTGAGGCTGAGAGCATGGTGGCTCCTGAGCTGCTGCCTTGATGGTGCTGACGGGTAAAAAAGGATCTTATTGTCAGCAGATCTGGTTGGGATATGTGCGGGGCTCATCCTTCAAAGAAAAATATTCCATTTATCATCCTGGAAACGAAATGGAAATGTTATTGCTTTCTAAGGAAGTTTTAATTCAGTTTTAATTTTCTGGTACAGTAGGTTAGTCTTCATCAGAGTGGCTCTGATGCCCACAGAGCATCTGGGACAGCAGCTCTTGGGACACTGCTGGGAAATGGCAAAAACTGTGCTGGTTATTTGGGTGCTGAGGTGTGGGTTTGAATTATGGCACAGCTGCTCGGTAGATAGTTTTTAACATTTTTTTAATGTTTTGGCAGCAGACTGTATGTGAGAGATGAAACGTGGACGAGTTGAACTCCACAGCTGTAGGAACTGCTGTCAAAGCCACTCTTCAGTGTCCATCTGCCTTCCTTTGTAAGGTGACTGGGGAAACCACCTTCTGTCCAGCCAATAGGTGCAGGAAGGACTGCATGAAACCCTATGGGCAGTGGGAAA